CTGCTACAGCAACTTCTTCACCCACAGCAGCCACAGTTGCCGACGTAAGCTAAGCCTACTAGTAAGGGGTGATCAGCGCGTGGGGCCAACGCGTGCCCATTTGCTCAAACTGTCAGTGGCTCAGTCAGGATTGCACATTCGCCGCCAGCCCAGTTAACGACTGCGTTCTGTGGTTCAGATTTTTCGCGGGTTGCCTGAAGCCTGTAGAGAAATTGTAGTGAAAACTTTCACTATAGCTGCACAAAAATTTGTAGGCGCTACAGCTATTTAATAAAACTGAAGCGGCTACAGCTACTAGCTACAAAAATTTGCAGCTAACTACAAAAAGTAGCGCGCTACTTAGCTACTCCCCCGTCCCTGCTCATAAATCCCTCACTGAATTTGTGAATCAGGTTCAGTCTAGTTTTTCAACTCACTACTAACAGTAGAGAATGCATAACTGACTTTAATCACAATGGTTTTATTAACATGGAATATCATATGGACATCTGAGAGAGGTGTTAATAGACACTTTTCACTATGGCAACTCAGTTCCCTTCACCTTTATTACAACGTCCATTCTTTTCAGCAGACCCGCTTTCAGGTTTTCAAAGAAATCTGCAGGGAAAATTTTCCACACCTCCAAAGTTCAGTCTTAGAAGTTGGTTACATTTTCTGCATCTCACTATCCAAATAATCCCAGATACATTCAGTGAGATGTTGAGGTCTGGACTCTGGGGTGTTCGGTCCATTGTTCTTTGTCTGTTTTCTTTTCTCAGTAAGAGCTTCTTAACAGGTACACATCCTTTTAGACTCATAGTGCTGAGTCGTCTTCTCACAGTGGAAGGATGGACAGAAACACCTGTGATATACCATCCAAACTTTTTGGAATTGGGTTTGCACATTCACAGCGTGTTATTAATTTCAAGTTATGTTTATTGTTCATGTTCAAGCTCCCGCTGTTTAACATTGCTAAATAACTGACCCTCTTCTTGTCTGTCCTCATTGCAGTCACAGACTAACCTGACTTTATTGGTAAATAAAGGGCCAAACATAATATTTATTGTTCATATTGAGAAAAGATTATTAGAATTCTCATGACTGTTTATTACATCACAGTGGCTGAGTTTTGTAGATGAAGGCACTCTATTATTACAAATAAGAATGAAGGTGACTGTATTTTAAGTGGCCCTTTATAGATGATTAATAAACTCGTAACAGAGTATCAGTAACACATCAACAACATATCAGTGAAATACTGTAGGATCTGAATACATTGAATTAAATATCTTGAAGATGTTCTGTTTATATATTACTCAGAGTAGTACTTAAGTAGATGTATTGTTGATATGATACATGAAGTAGATTTAATATGTTATTTTCATTATGCAAAACCTAACCTTACCCAAAACCTAACCCTGGCCCTAATCCTAGCCTTAATCTTAACCTTAACCTCAACCTCAACCTCAACCTCACCCCTAAGCCTAATTTTAACACTCACCCTAACCTTAACCTCAACCAAAAAAATAATAATTTTAACCCTCACTCTGGTCCTAATCCTAACCTTAAATTCAAACCAAAACCTAATCCTAACCTTAACCTCAACCCATAACCTAATCCAGTTACATAATGGTGTCAGTGTGTCTATAATGGCTTGTTGAGAATGTTGAGATGGTTGAGAATGTAATAATCCCAGGTTTATTACATTCTAAGGCTTATTATTCAGTAACTACAGGGACTTCATTGCAAACTGGTTGAGCTTTTCTTAGGTAATAGAAGAGTGTAATAAACTTTGGGCCTGCCGGTGGGCCCTGTCCATTTTTAAAGTGTCACTGTGTTTTATCATGTTACCCATTCTGCCCATGTTTATTCTTTAACAGTTTCACATTTGCCTCTGGATTATTTTATTTTTTAACATTTATTCATATTTTCTATGATACAATAAACTCTTAAAGTTCTGTACAAATAAATCTTCTGCCCTAACTTCAGTTCTGCCATCATCTAAGACAAATGAAACTGTGCAGAAGCCAACTATTATTCACAATTTGGTCACTGTGTCTTCTGCAGGTTAAGCAGTGAACAAATCAGATGACAATGCATCAGAATTGCTCTTTGAAAAGTAGCTGTAACTGAAAAATAACTGGTTTATTCACCTCTTTATCCTCAATGCTGCCATGACGCAGGCCTTCTTTCCCTATGTGTCTATGTGAACATCTCCTTTATCTTAATGCACAGTGAACAAGAAAAAAATCCCAAATGGATGATTTACAGAAGTGAAACTTCTGGTAAAGTTCTGTTATGAAGATATTTGCACAGACAGAAGACACGTTGCACTGAGTGCTCCATGCTTCAGTGCTCTGGGAGAGTTTATAGTGCTGTGAGTTTAACACTTCATGACTGAGAGCTGCTACAGCAACTTCTTCACCCACAGCAGCCATGACCTTAATCCCCATCTTCATCTGGACACTGATCTTCTGAACTCAAGGTCAGACTCTAAAAATACATGAATTACATTTTTTAAATATTACACTAATGAGTCTTAAATGAGAGCAATGGTACAATGTCATATCAACTTGTATTTTTCCAGAGTCCACAGGTCAGGTGACTGTAACTCAGACCCCTGCAGTGAAATCTGCTCTTCCAGGAGAAACAGTCACCATCAGCTGTAGAACCAGCCCTGCAGTGTATTACTACAGCTCATCTGGTCACTGTTTACACTGGTATCAGCAGAAACTTGGAGAAGCTCCTAAACTCCTGATTAAACTTGCGAATCAGCTTCAGTCTGGTTTTCCAGCTCGTTTTAGTGGCAGCGGCTCTGGAACAGACTTCACGCTGACCATCAGTGGAGTCCAACCTGAAGATGATGGAGATTATTTCTGTCAGGGTGATTATTATATCAGCAGTAACCATCTGTTCACACAGTGACACAGAGCCGTACAAAAACCTCCCTCAGTCTGACTGTACAGAGGCTGCACTGCTGCAGTGGGACCTCCTGCAGGTGCTGGAGTTGGAGGCTGTGAATATATATGAATATTTACTAAACTAGAATATGTATTTTTATTTATTTATTTAAATAAGTTATTTATTTATTTATTTATTGCTTCTTTTAATTAGTTGCTACTGAATGCAGAGCTAAACGACACTCTCAAACACTTCAGTCTGAAATCTTTCATTAGAAGTTAAAAATTCATTCTTAATGAATTAGACGGTAAAGTTTACTGACTAACCAGAAACCTTACAGAGTCAACACTGACATCTGAATACTGGAATAAATGTTCAAAAAACTATTAATCCTTAAACACAAATTACTCCATCAGAATAAGACAAATAGCTCCTCTATTTACACTCAGTGTTTTTTTTTTCCCATTTTCCAACTCGGTTTCTACAGCATAGCAGCTCTATATTTATATATATATTTTAACAAACCATATTTGCTGCTGAAAAACTGCCTGACTTGCTGTTCTGCTGTTCTTTTTTCCTGCCATTTTGAAAGCCTGATTTGCGTTTTTGGCCAAATAAGCTTGACAGAACGGAAGACACATTGTCATTGGCACTGTATGTAAAATAGGTCTTTAATTATGATCTAATTAATGCATAGTTATAATTAAGAATCTTTCAGTAAGCCTAAAAGTTTCCGGCTAAAGAGCTGGAATCATCCTAATCCCCACTCCTGTGTACATTAGTTTGATTTCAGTCCCAGAGAGCAAACAGTCATTGAATTCATATTAAATAAACATTAAATCCTCACTGTTAACTTCATTGACTGAGTGTTCTAATCTAATGTTGATCCTTAATCACTTTTGAAACCTGAACTAGTGCTGAAACAACATCAGTGCTACCGCTCTACTATGAATCAATGTATATTCCACATGAACACTGCCAACGTTACAAGCTGGTGAGTTCCATCCTGTGGTCAACTATAAATGAATGTATTGTAGCGAGTTCAAAAAACATTTGCATGTTAATTCCAGGTTTTGTTTTCCAGCATTTATTCACTGGGTTTATTTTGCTAAGGACTTTTATTTGAGTGGGCGGGGGTAGGAACCTCCCCGGGGAGCATAGTGTGGCCAGGAACAACTGACAGAGGACAAACTGTTAGAGAAAAACTTGGCTGTGGCCAACAACAGCTGGACAATAAAGCAACATGATTGTGCGAAAACCTTTAATAGTGGTAAATACTACAGTATATTCAAAGAAATCGTGTTCAGTGTTAGAAACTGGAGACTTTCTCTGATAACGTTGATCCAATACAATATTGATATTGACATTTCAAACTCGACCAAATTGATGATTCTGATGGAAGATTATGGATCAATTATGGATCAAAGTCACGCTGCTATCTTGGGGTGTTATTTCACCACTAGAAAAACCAGCATGGCTGGTCACCAGCTGAACCAGCATAGGGTTCCTGTCAAAACCTTGCACCTCATTTTTCAGTTTTTGGCATAATTTGAAAATGCCTGTTGCCCTTTACATTGTGTGTAAATTTCATGATGAATGGACCAAAAGAAATGACCCAAAATGACTTGGAAAATGTCTGATCACACTGATTTACATTAAAAGTAAAGTCGTTCTTTTTCTTCTCCTGTAAAGTTACCATTTCAGAGATACGAGGTTTTGTTCTGATAACAACATTATGTTGTTATTTGAATGCTGGAATGCCGGTCAACCAGCATGACCATGATGGTTTACCAGTCAAAACAGCACCAGACCAGGACTAGACCAGCACTGGACCAGTGTAGACTGACATAGACCAGCTAAGACCAGCCTAAACCAGTTTAGTTCAGCTAAGACAAGTCTAAAGCAGTTTAGACCAGCTAAGACCAGCCTAAACCATTTTAGACCAACATAAATCATTTTAGACCAGATATGACCAACCTAAACCAGCTTAAAATAGCTTAGACCAGCATAAACCAGTTAGGCCAGCTTAGACCAGCATAGGTAAATCCAAACTAAGGTCGTAATCAGAATCATAATGCAATTGATTTATAAAACAGTGTAAAGCAGAAACTAGAGCACTGTTTCAGTTTTTGAAGGAAAGCTTTTATTTATAAGGCAAAGTTTCACACATTTCAGCACTGAAACACATTTAACACATCTAACTGACGGCTGTGCTAAATGATCCGATCTTAGCAAAGCGGAGGTGCATTTGTGAGGTCACAGGTCAGAGCATTGGTCTGCGCTCACTGTCTTGCGGACGGTAGGCTGGGAGTCCTTGGTGGCCTCACAGGTCACTGTGTTCTTCAGCCACTGCTGCTGGCTGAGGGTCAGGGTGCTGCTCCAGCTGTAGAGGCCGTCGTTCTTCTGCAGAAGCGCAGGGCTATGACTGACCCCCGACTCCAATGAGTCACCGCCCACCTTCCAGCTCAGCTTCCAGTCTGAGGGGAAGCCCCCGCTGCCCACACAGACCAGAGTGGCCTTTTCCTGATCCTGCTCCACGCTGGACGGGGGCAGCACCGTGAGGGTGGGTGCCGTGTCACCTAGGAGACACACATACACAGTCTAAAGCTCTGATAGGTGGAGACAGCTATCAATCATTCAGCCCAGAGAAACAGGTGGAGTCGCCACAGGAAGACACTGTGTTTCATTTCTCTCAAACCACACAGAGCAGAACTGAGTTCAGTCGAGCATAAAAACACATTCAAACTGCAGCCTGTTTATTTCAAATATATCTGACCTGAATTACAATATTTCATAAATGATATTGTGTCCTGAACGTATTACTATTGGACTTTAATAAAAGCATTAAGAACAATGTGCAGTATTTTCTACATAAATAACCCACTTTTCACAAATCCATCTTATCACTGATTGAGCAGTGAATGTAACATTAATATACTGATTACGCAATAAATACTGATATTGAAAAAGTAATAATAACATAAAAATAAAATCTAAAATGTAAAACTGTGTTATAGAGCTCAATCATACATGTTCAATAGTTTGGAATCACTTGTTATAGTAAATTAATTTTCTTAGTTTATGCTGCACTGTATTTTTAGAGGTTTTATTCAACATTTCTAGATTTCTTAGAACAATAAGTAGCTGAATAATGATAACTTATAAATAATATACTGTAAATATCTCTTCAGATTAACTTTTGTGTCGAGTTATCTGACTTGAGATTTGATCTTTTAATAAGATTAATTCTGTATGTTATTTCATTATAGCTTTATTCCCGATGTCATGCAGCTTCAGTTATTTTAGGATCTTCTACAGCTCTGTTTATCATTCTGGACACATTCAATATTTCTTCATTTTTATTTACAGCTTCGTTGCATTTTATGAATTGTGTTTTGAACAGAAGCAGATTAGAATCAGTTACTAGACAAACCATTTTCTTTTATATGGTTGAAAAATGATTCCAGTTGTTGAAACAGCAACAATTGTATTCAATAATTTGAAGACCCCCATCCTCCACATAGACTATGCTTAAATATGATATGGTTCTGCACATTTTAATGCATAATTACTGTTTATTATCTAAATTAAACATTAATAAAAGCATAAAATATAAGTTACACAACTGTTTCCATGTTTGATTCCCCCCTAATATCTTAAATTCAGTGAATAAACAGTAGCTGTGCATTAAAATGTGCATTAGTGTGTCATTCGGCCAGGGGCGCCCAGACTTTTGCACACAACTGCACAAGCTGTTACAGTCTTTTAAAGAAATGCCTGCATGTCTGTTATCTTTAGTAACATCTACACTAGATTAAAGTCTGGACACTATTCAGAACTGGATTATTACACAAGGTGAACTTTTAACTGAGAAAGACTGACACTTCAAAATAAGAGCGTCACTGTAAAAACCTCAACACTGAATAAATATTAAACACATATTGAACAGTTTTCTCCTCTCATCTAGTTCTACAACAGACCCAAGAAATGACTTTGATTCTGAATGGATTATGTTGCTAATAAAGAAAGTTAGTTACTCACGTCCAACTGACAGTTTGGTTCCTCCACCGAAAGTCATCCACAGTGATACAAACTCATTCAGCAACTGTACAAAAACCTCCTGCTCTAAAACACCACACTGTTCACACAGCACAGCCTCACTGTGCTCAGTAATGAGGGGAAAACAGAGCTCAGCTCTCAGTTTACATGATGAATATACACTAAAATATAATACTTTACTATTTTATTTATTGTTTTTATTCTTTGTTTATTTATTTTCGCCTACTTTTATTTAGTAGTCGACTGAATGCAGAGCTGAACATCATTCTCAAACACTTTAGTCTGAAATCTTTTATTAGAAGTTAAAAATTCATTACAAGTTAAAATTAGAAGTTAAAGTTTACTGACTAACCAGAAACCTTACAGAGTCAACACTGACATCTAAATACTGGAACAAATGTTCATAAAACTATTATTCCTTAAACACAAATCACTCCATCAGAATAAGACAAATAGTTCCTCTATTTCTCCAACAGACTCACAGAAAACAAGACTACAAACACACTCAGACAAAGTTTTTAGAGGAATTAACTCACTGCTATTGTCGCTTTCCTTCACAATGATAGACAGAGAGTAGAAAAGGACCAAACTTATCAAATAAAGGCCATTTATTTCTTATTTTACATCATATATCGCCCCCTGGTGGTTGTGCAGAAGAACCTCACACTGGTTTGTTAAGGGATTAGTTTAGTTCAGTGATTGTAAAGAGAGCTTATCAGCCAAGATTTGACTGAAATACTAAATCTTAACTTTAAGCCAGTGTAGGATTTTGGAAAGGTGTAAAGAGTTGTTAGGAAGGAATAGTAACTAATTATGAATCAACTGGTTTTATGAGTATATAAAGACTTTAAAGAAATACTATGTAATATATTTTCTGTACTAAATCATAAAATTACCATTAAATGTCATCAGAAATGAAGAAAACATGCTAAATTGAATTCCTGGCTTCTCCGACAGCAGAGCCACAGCCAATTTCCATTCTGGAGTGGAAAGTCTGTTTGTGTTTTGGTCTGTGATCCCAGTCATTGCCTATTTCTTAGTACCATTTCAACACCTCAGGTTGCCAGATATGAAATAAACTAGCAGGCAAACACAGAGAGCTGTAGCCATGGAAGCAAGCTAACGAATAAACTCTATCCTGACCTAAAAAGACTCTGCATCCTCCTAAAAAGCTCCATGACCAGAGACGTAGTAAAACGCGAGTAAATATTGGTGATGTATTTGAAAGATGGAGACAGCTTAGAGCCCAGAAGGACTTTAAGACGGTTGCCTAGTTGGCTGATTTTCTCCTGAGCAGGTGAGCATTGAGCTCCAGCTGAGGTCAGTTAACCTTAACTAATTCATCACGGCTGCTTGTAGGAATGAGCATTTTAAGTCATTTTAACATTTGAGTACTCGGATTCATGCTCTGTGGTCCATGTGCAGCTGGGTTATCAAGGCAGATGAGGCTGAAGTTGGCCTGCTTAGTTGTGCTAGCATGTGCAGGCTAGGCTAGTGAAGCTAGCATGTACCGCCAATGTGCCTTAAATCTCATTCTCTCATAGTTTACACTGTTTCAGTGTGAGTCGTATTTTCAGTCTGACTCTCTGAGAAATAACACTGAATATTGCATTGAGTAAAACATGCATTAATCTGGTAGACTTAATAAAATGAGATGAAGTGTGTTAATCAGTTTATCTGTTTATGGCTTTCTTTTCTGTTTTTGCAATGTTGGAGAAACTTAACACTGACAATAATCTCATTCAACCTAAAGAGAAACTGTTGAGCATTTTTGTGAAAGTGTGAAAATTTCAGATGCTGTTTATTTTGCACGTACATGTCAGATTATAAAGAGGTGTATTTTTTCATGTAGTTTATGTTTATAAGGTGATTGACAGACTAAGCAGGAGGTTCATCAGCTCCAGCTGGGTTAGCATCACTAACTGAATCACAGTCCACTGCAGTCACCAAGTAGCTTTGCTTTTGCCCCCGCTGCCCACACAGACCAGAGTGGCCTTCTCCCGATCCTGCTCCACACTGGACAGGGGCAGCACAGTAAGGGTGGGTGCTGTGTCACTGAGATTTGACTGCAATACTAAATCTCAACTTTAAGCCAGTGTAAGACTCTGGAAAGGTGTAAAGAGTTGTTAGAAAGGAATAGTAACTAGTTATGAATCAATTGGTTTTCTGACTATATAAAGACTTTAAAGAAACAATATGTAAGATATATTTTCTGTACTAAATCATAAAATGACCATGATATGTCATCAGAAATTAAGAAAACATGCTAAATTGAATTCCTGGCTTCTCCGACAACAGAGCTACAGCCAATTTCCATTCTGGAGTGGAAAGTCTGTTTGTGTTTTGGTCTGTGATCCCAGTCATTACCTATTTCTTAGTACCATTTCAACACCTCATCAGCTCCAGCTGGGTTAGCATCACTAACTGAATCACAGTCCATTGCAGTCACCAAGTAGCTGTGCTTTGTTGATAAAGCTTGTTCTGTAAAGCTTGTCCATCTTGAGGGTGAATCATGGTTTGGTCAGTTGGTTAAACAGTTCTTTGGGCCTTATATAATATTAATTGTACATATTGTATATTTTTGTACTGCGTTCTGTAAGATTTATTTAAATTGAAAGAAGTAGCATTACTGAGTCAGAGGAATAAATATGCTAAAAATGGTGTCTGTGCTGCTGTGAGTCGCCCTGTAAAACATGAAATAATCATTTAAAATTCAAAGACGTTGGTTTGGATTTGGTGGGAGTTTTTCAGACCATGTTACAAGTCTTTACATACTAACATTACACACATAAAGGCTTAAAAAGAAGGTCCAGATCAGATCTCAAAGGAAAAAAATCAACATTAAATTGATAAAGATGTGATGACAATAGCAGATAATGCATTCCTATCCTGGGACGACACATCCTTCACCAAGTTTTGACTGAGTTTTCTTTGAATTCTCTTTCAATGCACTCATAATCGTCAGATTCATCTGGGCTTCAAAGCATAACTGGCCATACAAAATACTGTTCTACACAATGCCTGCAATTACACATTTAAATTCTCACGTCTGCCGTTCTAGAACTCTCTGTGATCATCAGCCACTTCCATCCTGTAAAAAAAAAGAGAGACAGAAGCACTGGAAGAGGCTGAAGAGAGATTTTGAGTAATTAAATCCATAAAGTACTTTATATGGACAAACAGCTGTGTTGTGATTGTCATTTAATAAAAAGAAAAGAAGCAGAACTGTAAAAATCTTTATACCACAACTCACAGTTATAAATTAAAGAGAGCAAAGATGGTGAATTCAACAAAAACGGCCAACAACAACCTACTGGCAGAGGTAACATTATTTCTATTATTTTAATTAGAAGAGTGAACGATGCAGTGCAGATCAGATGATCTACAGAAGTGAAATTTGTGGTGAAGTTCTGTTATGAAGATATTTACATAGACAGGAGACACAGCCTTCACTCTGACCATCAGTGGGGTCCAGCCTGAAGATACAGGAGATTATTACTGTCAGAGTTACCATTATATCAGCAGTAACCATCTGTTCACACAGTGATACAGAGCCGTACAAAAACCTCCCTCAGTCACACTGTACAGAGGCTGCACTGCTGCAGTGGGACCTCCTGCAGGTGCTGGAGTTGGAGGCTGTGAATATATATGAATATTTACTAAACTAGAATATGTATTTTATTTATTTATTTATTGCTTCTTCTTTAATTAGTTGCTACTGAATGCAGAGCTGAACATCATTCTGGAACACTTTAGTCTGAAGTTTTTCATTAGAAGTTAAAAATTCATTCTTAGTTAGAACTGGAAGTTAAAGTTTACTGACTAACCAGAAACCTTTCAGAGTCAACACTGACATCTAAATACTGGAACAAATGTTCATAAAACTATTAATCCTTAAACACAAATCACTCCATCAGAATAAGACAAATAGTTCCTCTATTTCTCCAACAGACTCACAGAAAACAAGACTACAAACACACTCAAACAATGTTTTTAGAGGAATTAACTCACTGCTATTGTCGCTTCCCTTCACAATGATAGACAGAGTGTAGAAAAGTGCCAAACTCATCAAAACAAGGCCATTTATCCACTGAACATTATGAGATCGCCCCCTAGTGGTTATGCAGAAGAACCTCACACTGGTTTGATAAGGGATTAGTTTATTTCGGTGATTGTAAAGAGAGCTTATCAGCCAAGATTTGACTGAAATACTGAATCTTACCTTTAGGCCAGTGTAAGACTCTGGAAAGGTGTAAAGAATTTAGGAATAGGAATTTAGGCAGGAATAATAACTAGTTATCAATCAAATTGCTTTTATGAGTATATAAAGACTTTAAAGAAATACTATGTAATATATTTTCTGTACAAAATCATAAAATGACCATTAAATGTCATCAGAGATTAAGAAAACATGCTAAATTGAATTCTTGGCTTTTCCAACAACAGAGCTACAGCCAATTTCCATTCCGGAGTGGAAAGACTGTTTCTGTTTTGGTCTGTGATCCCAGTCATTACCTATTTCTTAGTACCATTTCAACACCTCAGGTTGCCAGATATGAAGCAAATTGGCAGGCAAACACAGAGAGCTGTAGTCATGGCAGCAAGCTAACAAATAAACTCTATCCTGACCTAAAAAGACTCTGCATCCTCCTAAAAAGCTGCGGGAAGTGCTGCGCGAGCTAGGCCTGCTAAGATCCACGGCGCTGCGTGAGCCTGCTGGCCGAAAGCAATGCGCGAGAAGGCGTAAGCGAGGCAAGCGAGGCGGGGTGCGCGCTAGGCTAATGGCTAACCCCAGACGACCAGCCGTTCCATCGCTTCTTCTATCAAACGTTTGTTCATTGGAGAATAAACTGGACTACCTCCGGATTCAGCGGGCTACCCAGCGTGAGTTCAGAGACTGCTGTGTTTTCGTTTTTACGGAGACATGGATGACGAGCTCAACTCTGGACTTTTGTGCTTCCGTGCGGACAGAGACGCTGAGCTGTGCGGCAAGACCCGAGGAGGGGGACTGTGTGTTCACATCAACACTGAATGGTGTAGAAACGCGGCGCTAGTCTCTAGTCACTGCTCACCGCTGGTGGAGTTTGCGATTGTCAGAGCCAGGCCATTTTATTTGCCAAGAGAGCTAGCTAACTATGCTGTTCGGTGTACATAGCTCCCAGTGCTAATGCTAACGCCGCATTGAACGAGCTGTACAGCGCTATCAGCGATCTGCAAAACACACATCCAGACGGACTGTTTATCGTTGCTGGAGATTTTAACCATGCAAATTTGAAGTCAGTACTCCCCAAATTTCACCAGTATGTGGACTTTGCAACCCCGGGGGGGGCTAACGTGCTGGATCTTGTTTACACAAACATCCCCGGCGCGTACAGGGCTGAGCCCCGCCCCCACTACGGCTACTCAGACCACATCTCTGTGATGGTCATTCCAACATACAGACCGCTCATCAGACGTGCCAAACCAGACCAGAAGCAAGTCAGAATCTGGCCACCAGGAGCTATCTGTGCTCTTCAGGACTGTTTTGAGCACACTGACTGGGAGATGTTCAGAGAAGCAGCAACCTCCAGGGACTCCACCAACCTGGAGGAGTATACAGAATCAGTGACTGGCTACATCAGCAAGTGCATTGACGATGTTACTGTCTCCAAACTCGTCACAACTCACCCCAACCAGAAACCATGGATGACTGCAGAGGTGCGCATGCTACTGAGAACCCGTGACAAGGCTTTCAAGTCAAGGGACAGAGCAAGCCTCAGGATAGCAAGAGCCAAGCTTTCCCGGGCCATCAAAGAGGCTAAGCGTGCCTACTCAGAGAAAATCCATGAACATTTTCAAAACACTGCTGACACATGGCGCATGTGGCAGGGCATCCAGGCCATCACCAATTACAAGTCATCTCCACCTGCTTGTGACAGTGATGCCTCCCTTCCAGACGCGCTGAACAACTTCTACGCTCGGTTTGAAGCACAGAACGGCACGACAGCGAGGAAAACCACACCTCCTCCAAATGAACAGGTACTGTGTCTGACCACAGCTGATGTGCGGAGAACTCTACTCAGAGTCAACCCATGGAAAGCACCAGGATCCGACAGTATACCGGGCAGAGTGCTCAGAGATTGCGCCGCACAGCTGGCTGATGTTCTCACGGACATTTTCAACATCTCTCTGAGCACTGCAGTCGTTCCAACGTGCTTCAAGTCCACCACCATCATCCCTGTGCCGAAGAAGTCTCCAGTGTCCTGCCTCAATGACTACCGTCCCATTGCACTCACTCCAATCATCATGAAGTGCTTTGAGAGGCTTGTCATGAGGCACATTAAAGACCAGCTTCCTCCCTCACTGGACCCACTGCAATTTGCATATCGCCCCAACCGCTCAACAGACGACGCCATCTCCACCACCTGGCTCTCACCCACTTGGACAATAAAGACACTTATGTCAGAATGCTATTCATAGACTTCAGTTCAGCATTCAACACCATCATCCCTCAGAAGCTGATTGGAAAACTGAGCCTGCTGGGCCTAAACGCCTCTCTCTGTAACTGGGTCCTGGATTTCCTGACTAAGAGACCTCAGTTAGGCACCGGCGCCCCTCAGGGCTGTGTGCTCAGTCCGCTGCTGTTTACCCTGCTGACTCATGACTGTGCTGCAAAGTACAGCTCAAATCACACCATCAAGTTTGCTGATGACACGACTGTGGTGGGTCTGATCAACAAGAATGATGAGTCAGCGTACAGAGAGGAGGTGCAGCGGCTAACAGACTGGTGCGGAACCAACAACCTGTCTCTGAATGTAGACAAAACTAAGGAGATGGTTGTTGACGTCCGAAGAGTGCGGGGTGACCACGCCCCACTGAACATCACTGGCTCTGCTGTGGAAATCGTCAGGAGCACCAAGTTCCTCGGCGTCCACATCACAGAGAACCTCACCTGGTCCCACAACTCCAACTCCATAGCCAAGAGAGCCCAGCAGCGCCTCTACTTCCTTCGGAGACTGAAGAAAGCTCATCTCCCCCCTCCCATACTCACAATGTTCTACGGGGGAACTGTGGAGAGCATTCTGAGCAGCTGCATCTTCGCCTGGTTTGGGAATTGCACCACTCCTGACCGCAAGACCCTACAGCGCATAGTGAGGACAGCTGAGAAGATCGTCGGGGTCTCTCTCCCCTCCATCATGGACATCTACACCACACGCTGCATCCGGAAAGCCACCAGCATCGTGAACGACCCCATCCATCCCTCACACAGACTTTTTTCACTACTGTCGTCTGGCAGAAGGTACCGGAGCATCCGTGCCATCACTGCCAGACTCTGCAACAGCTTTGATCCTCAAGCAATCAGGTTTTTAAACTCACAAGGACTGAACTAAATCCCACACACCTCTTTTGATGCTCTACTTGCACTATCTATCTGGAACATTGCTGCCAATACTGTGTTTTTTTACATAGACAGGAGACACGTTGCTCTGAGTGCTCCATGCTTCAGTGCTCTGGGAGAGTTTATAGTGCTGTGAGTTTAACACTTAATGACTGAGAGCTGCTACAGCAACTGCTTCACCCACAGCAGCCATGACTTTAATCCCCATCTTCATCTGGACACTGATCTTCTGGACTCAAGGTCAGAAACTATTATATATTTCAGTTTTAGAGTGACCTGTCCTGGACATACTAGGGACTTGTACTTATATATATCTATGTAAAATGAGCATGTCTTTTTCTCCACAGGTCAGGTGACTGTAACTCAGACTCCTGCAGTGAAATCTGCTCTTCCAGGAGACACAGTCACCATCAGCTGTAGGATCAGCACTGCAGTGTATTACTCCAGCTCATATGGCCACTATTTACACTGGTATCAGCAAAAACCTGGAGAAGCTCCTAAACTCCTGATTATACTTGCGAATCAGCTTCAGTCTGGTTTTCCAGCTCGTTTCAGTGGCAGCGGCTCTGGATCTGACTTCACTCTGACCATCAGTGGAGTCCAGCCTGAAGATGATGGAGATTATTTCTGTCAGAGTTACCATTATATCAGCAGTAACAATCTGTTCACACAGTGATACAGAGCCGTACAAAAACCTCCCTCAGTCACACTGTACAGAGGCTGCACTGCTGCAGTGGGACCTCCTGCAGTTGCTGGATTTGGAGGCTGTGAATATATATGAATATTTACTAAACTAGAATATTTATTTTTATGTATTTATTTAATTAATTTATTTATTTATTGCTTCTTTTAATTAGCTGCCACTGAATGCAGAGCTAAACGACACTCTCAAACACTTTAGTCTGAAATCTTTCATTATAAGTTAAAAATTCATTCTTAGTTAGAATTAGATGGTAAAGTTTACTGACTAACCAGAAACCTTTCAGAGTCAACACTGACATCTGAATACTGGAACAAATGTTCAAAAAACTAATATTCCTTAAACATGCAGCTTCAGTCTGGTTTTCCAGCTCGTTTCAGTGGCTGGGGATCTGGGTCATCCTTCACTCTGACCATCAGTGGAGTCCAGCCTGAAGATGATGGAGATTATTACTGTAAGAGTTACCACAGTGGTGGTGTGTTCACACAGTGATACAGAGCTGTACAAAAACCTCCCTCAGTCTGACTGTACAGAGGCTGCACTGCTGCAGTGGGACCTTCTGCAGGTGCTGGAGTTGGAGGCTGTGAATATATATGAATATTTACTAAACTAGAATATATATTTTTATTTATTCATTTATTTGTTTATTTATTGCTTCTTCTTTTAATTAGTTGCTACTGAATGCAGAGCTGAACATCATTCTCGAACACTTTAGTCTGAAGTTTTTCATTAGAAGTTAAAAATTCATTCTTAGTTAGAATTGGAAGTTAAGGTTCACTGACTAACCAGAAACCTTGCAGAGTCAACACTGACATCTAAATACTGGAAGAAATGTTCAAAAAAACTATTAATCCTTAAAACACAAATCACTCCATCAGAATAAGACAAATAGTTCCTCTATTTCTCCAACAGACTCACAGAAAACAAGCCTACAAACACACTCAGACAATGTTTTTAGAGAAATTAATTCACTGCTATTGTCGCTTCCATTCCAGAGCAGAAAGTCTGTTTGTGTTTTGGTCTGTGATCCCAGTCATTACCTATTTCTTAGGACCATTTCAACACCTCAGGTTGCCAGATATGAAACAAATTGGCAGGCAAACACAGAGAGCTGTAGTCATGGCAGCAAGCTAACAAATAAACTCTATCCTGACCTAAAAAGACTCTGCATCCTCCTAAAAAGCTCCATGACCAGAGACGTAGTAAAACGTGAGTAAATATTGGTGATGTATTTGAAAGATGGAGACAGCTTAGAGCCCAGAAGGACTTTAAGATGGTTGCCTAGTTGGCTGATTTTCTCCTGAGCAGGTGAGCACTGAGCTCCAGCTGAGGTCAGCTAACCTTAACTAATTCATCACGGCTGCTTGTAGGAATGAGCATTTTAAGTCATTTTAACATTTGAGTACTCGGATTCATGCTCTGTGGTCCATGTGCAGCTGGGTTATCAAGGCAGATGAGGCTGAAGTTGGTCTTCTTAGTTGTGCTAGTATGTAAATGCTAGGCTAGTCAAGCTAGCATGTACCACCAATGTGCCTTAAATCTCATTTTCTCATAGTTTACACTGTTTTAGTGTGAGTCGTATTTTCACTCTGACTCTCTGAGTCGTCTTCTCACAGTGGAAGGATGGACAGAAACACCTGTGGATGTTTTCAGATCTGAAGCAGCTTGATTTTCTTCTCTCTCTCAAAGATGAAAGTTTTAAGTGCTGTTTATCTGATGGGGGCAGGGTTGTTGGTCTACCAGGTCATGCATGTTTGTTAGGAGTCCTTGTTCTCCTTATCTTTTAATCATTTTTACATTCTAGTTTTAAAAACTCCTAGTTTACACTTACTTTCCTTTCAGTCAAAAACAATACCTTTCACTTACTGCCCTTTTGACTGGAAATAAAATAAATGAACGGTGTCTCTGATTCAAACACATCAGTGATCACCAAACAGTTCATAGAAGATCAGAAAGATCTAACTGTGCTGAAGGAAGCTTAGAGCAGGAGATCAGACTCATTATCTGAACAGAGTTATTAAACACAAGCATTCACTCTTTGCTGCCCAGCACCGATCACCTTCACTCAAACCTGTACCACCAACAGTCCAATTCAAATTCCATAAATAACATTTAAATACTTGAAAAGTTCTACATGGATCTATGATGGATTTCTTCTACGTAACGACAAAATCCTCCTTGTAAATTTCCATTATTTTAATGCACAGCAAAGATGAAAAATCACAAATTGATGATTAGAGCAGTGAAATGTTGTTGTTTAAATACAGGTTAGCCTAAAATTACAAAGCACTGCTTTCAGTCTTTATTTGCATGTCAAATACCATCCAAACTTTTTGGAATTGGGTTTGTACATTCACAGCGTGTTATTAATTTCAAGTTATGTTTATTGTTCATGTTCAAGCTCCAGCTGTTTAACATTGCTAGATAACTGACCCTCTTCTTGTCTGTCCTCATTGCAGTCACAGACTAACCTGACTTTATTGGTAAATAAAGGGCCAAACATAATATTTATTGTTCATATTGAGAGAGAGATTATTAGAATTCTCATGACTGTTTATTACATCACAGTGGCTGAGTTTTGTAGATGAAGGCACTCTATTATTACAAATAAGAATGAAGGTGACTGTATTTTAAGTGGCCCTTTGTAGATGATTAATAAACTCGTAACAGAGTATCAGTAACACATCAACAACATATCAGTGAAATACTGTAGGATCTGAATACATTGAAGTAAATATCTTGAAGATGTTCTGTTTACAGCAGTACTTAAGTAGATGTATTGTTGATATGTTACATGAAGTAGAGTTAATATGTTATTTTCTTTATGCAAAACCTAACCTTACCCAAAACCTAACCCTGGCCCTAATCCTAGCCTTAATCTTAACCTTAACCTCAACCTCAACCTCACCCCTAAGCCTAATTTTAACACTCACCCTAACTTTAACCTCAACCCCAAACCTAGTTCTAACCCTCACCCTAACCTTAACCTCAACCCCAAACCTAGGCCTAACCCTCACTCTGGCCCTAATACTAACCTTGACCTTAACCTCGACCCAAAACCTAAGCCTAACCCTCACCTTGGCCCTATTACTAACCTTAACCTTAACCTCAGCCAAAAAAATAATAATTTTAACCCTCACCCTGGTCCTAATCCTAACCTCAACCTCAAACCAAAACCTAATCCTAACCCTCCCTCACCCTGGCACTAATCCTAACCTTAACCTCAACCCAAAACCTAATCCAGTGAAGCTCCAGTTACATAATGGTGTCAGTGTGTCTATACTGGCTTGTTGAGGATGTTGAGATGGTTGAGAATGTAATAATCCCAGGCTTATTACATTCTAAGGTTTATTATTCAGTAACTACAGGGACTTCATTGCAAACTGGTTGAGCTTTTCTTAGGTAATAGAAGAGTGTAATAAACTTTGGGCCTGCCGGTGGGCCCTGTCCATTTTTAAAGTGTCACTGTGTTTTATCATGTTACCCATTCTGCCCAGGTTTATTCTTTAACAGTTTCACAATTGTCTTTGGATTATTTTATTTTTTAACATTTATTCATATTTTCTATGATACAATAAACTCAAAGTTCTGTACAGATAAATCTTCTGCCCTAACTTCAGTTCTGCCATCATCTAACACAAATGAAACTGTGCAGAAGCCAACTATTATTCACAGTGTGCTCACTGTCTCTTCTGCAGGCTAAGCAGTGAACAAATCAGATGACAGTGCATCAGAATTGTTCTTTGAAAAGTAGCTGTAACTGAAAAATAACTGGTTTATTCACCTCTTTATCCTCAATGCTGCCATGATGCAGGCCTTCTTTCCCTATGTGTCTATGTGAACATCTCCTTTATCTTAATGCACAGTGAACAAGAAAAAAATCCCAAATGGATGATTTACAGAAGTGAAACTTCTGGTAAAGTTCTGTTATGAAGATATTTACATAGACAGAAGACACGTTGCTCTGAGTGCTCCATGCTTCAGTGCTCTGGGAGAGTTTATAGTGCTGTGAGTTTAACACTTCATGACTGAGAGCTGCTACAGCAACTTCTTCACCCACAGCAGCCATGACCTTAATCCCCATCTTCATCTGGACACTGATCTTCTGGACTCAAGGTCAGACTCTAAAAATACATGAATTACATTTTTTTAATATCACACTAATGAGTCTTAAATGAGAGCAATGGTACAATGTCATATCAACTTGTATTTTTCCAGAGTCCACAGGTCAGGTGACTGTAACTCAGACTCCTGCAGTGAAATCTGCTCGTCCAGGAGACACAGTCACCATCAGCTGTAGAACCAGCACTGCAGTGTATTACCACAGCTCATATGGCCACTATTTACACTGGTATCAGCAGAAACCTGGAGAAACTCCTAAACTCCTGATTAAACTTACGAATCAGCTTCAGTCTGGTTTTCCAGCTCGTTTCAGTGGCAGCGGATCTGGAACAGACTTCACTCTGACCATCAGTGGAGTCCAGCCTGAAGATGATGGAGATTATTACTGTCAGAGTCATCACAGTGGTGGTGTGTTCACACAGTGATACAGAGCCGTACAAAAACCTCCCTCAGTCACACTGTACAGAGGCTGCACTGCTGCAGTGGGACCTCCTGCAGGTGCTGGAGTTGGAGGCTGTGAATATATATGAATATTTACTAAACTAGAATTTATTCATTTATTTATTTATTTATTTATTTATTTATTTATTGATTGCTTCTTTTAATTAGTTGCTACTGAATGCAGAGCTGAACATCATTCTCAAACACTTTAGTCTGAAGTTTTTCATTAGTTAAAAGTTAAAAATTCATTCTTAGTTAGAATTGGAAGTTAAAGTTCACTGACTAACCAGAAACCTTACAGAGTCAACACTGACATCTAAATACTGGAAGAAATGTTCAAAAAACTATTATTCCTTAAACACAAATCACTCCATCAGAATAAGACAAATATTCCTCTATTCTATAGACACGGATCTTAAGATGTCTTGGCAATAATAACATCCCAAGATGTCTCAAGATGTTGGATGCATAATACGTATTTTTAAATTTTACCTACATTTTTTTTTAAATAAATCTTTTACTTCTAAATACTTTTAAGGGAATTTTAAAACGTAACATTATTTATAGCAAAAATTCTAGTAATTAATTTTTTTTCATTATTTAATTTTTTTGTTCTATGTAGGATGCATAATGGTATCACTTATTTTAACATATGTAATGTATATTATTTTATAAACATACAAACATTACATACATTAGTACATACCACATTCATACATTTCAGAACAAATTTAACAACAAAAGTAATAATAATAATAATAATAATAATAATATTTATAGGCACATGGTTCCCAGTCTGTAATTTTCTCTACAATAAGCCATTTTATATGAAACCACTAAATGACATCGCAATGACAGAATCAAGGGTACAAAAATGTGGAATTCGCCTTTGAATGTTTCTGTGGCATTAGAAAAGCTTATGGAATCAGTGAAAATTTATTTGTGAGTTCAGATCATGCCTTCAACATGGTGGTAGTATGAGGGAAGACTCTTACGCAACTATTTTGTAATACAGCATTGCTGCAAAATTTAAAAATCGAATTCAGTTCTTTTAAATACCTTTTTATAGTAATTAACCCTTAATGTTTTAAAAATGTGTTAAAAATACATATTTTTACAATTACTATTTTACAGTTGCTTCATTTTTTAATGAAGGTATCATTTTATCAACTTTTAAAATAATAATAATAAGAAGGAGAACAAAGAACTATAATGAGTATGCATAAATTACAGTAATGTAATTTAAAGGGGTATGGAAAATCACTCTTTTACAGTTTTGTATTTCCTTGTTAACCTGTTAAATTAATTAATTAATTAATTAATTCAAAATACTTCTACATGCAAATAATTTACTCTGCAATCCAAAGCATAGCCCATGAAAAAGCACCCACATAGCTTTCAAAAAATATAGATTACAGTTATTGTTTATTGTTTTTACAACTGTGTATATGCAGAGTACAATAGCGTCATCACACTTGATATGTTCTACAGACGGGGAAAAACATGTTAACTGACTTTGTGTAGAAATTTGAAATATACTGCAATAAATACACAGTTCCGACCAATGAATCTGATTTTAAGGTCTGCTGTTATTCCGTATATAAGTTATGCTGAAGTTATTAGCAATATAGTACTATGAACAATTATAAATGATGGGAAACAATTTTAAGACAAATTCATATGGACTAAAAAGAAAAACTGACCAACAGAGTAATAAAGAGGTCTGAACCCCAGCAGCACTCCTAACATAGCTGAGCCAGATAATGATCAGCTGTCAAACAATTAATACCAGACTCAGATGTGCTGGGAGATGGAATAGAGCCAAGCTGTGGACATTTTATGTGGACATACGTGGACACAGGAAACAGGACACAGATAACTCGATGTGCATATGTCCATGCCATAATGCCTGAACACTAATATTACTGATATCACACTGCTGATGCTGTTACCGATCTCCCCTTTAAGAGTTAAATCCGTGATGAGTGAGAGAGCTGTCAGATTCACAGCCCATCACTTCTTCCTCTGTTTTTTCTCAGTGTTGGTCTTCTTTGTCAGAGATATGAAGAAAAAACGCATCTGTTAAAAAATCAATTTTAAGACAATAAATTTGAAATTACTTTTGGATCTGCATACACAAGCAGGCTGAATTTAAAGGGGACCTAATATGCTAATTTCCAATGTTCATAAATTTATTTTTGGGGTCTACTATAATACATTTACATGCTTCAGTGTTCCAGAAACACATTATTTTTCTCATACTGTAAATCTCTACTCACCCTCTGTCTGAAACGCTCTGTTAGAGCTCCTGTATCTTTAAGCCCCTCCTTCCTGAGCCCAGTACGCTCTGATTAGTCAGCTCGTGAGGGCATGCCAAGCTCGCTGGTAGGTGGGCAATAAGGATTGTGTTATGGGATTACATCATCTTGTAACAAAGGAAAGGGCTGGGGAACTCCAGCCCTCAGGCAGCTGAGAAAAGTGGTTTCTGTGGGAAAGAGTTTCTCCCTCTGGCATATACTTTGTATCTTACATGCACAAAAAGCTACGTAGCACAATAAATGAAAGGGAAAGCATTATATGTTCCCTTTATAAGTAGAATATAATGTACAGTATACATACGTTCACTCATCTAAAATCAACTCAGGCATTTAGTACACAAAGAAATGTGACAAGGCTTTAAATAATATCTATGCATGAACTACGTGGCACCCAGCTCACCCACATAGCTGATGTTCAGACAATGATGTTCAGTGTAATGAAAGAAGCAAAAGGATGAGGCCACTTGGGTAAGAGCTCAGTTGAGTGTTGAGAGAGATATGGACTGCCACCATACTGGATGAGGCCCAAAGAGAGGATGTTCCTTTGGAGGGATTGAAAAGAACAAAGTTGATTAGATAATGCACAATTCTATTGTTTTCATCCTCTAACACGCCTCAGTCAACACGTGACAGAAATGATCATTTGCTGTTGAGGCAGGTGTGAGCTTAGTACTGATATCTGTATCTGTTAAAAGCTGTGTTAAAGGAAAATTACTCAATTTTTAAGCACAATTTCATCATTAAGATGCAAAAAAGTAGTTTGATACAAAATGTTCCATTGTGGAAAAACTTACAGAGTCAGAGTTGTTCATAGTGGCAGTGACAAGAACCAGACGTTTGAAGAGTTCAATGCCTCTAATCTCTCTCACAGAGAATTATTACATGAAATGATTATTAATAAGAGCTAAACAGCATGTTTACCACATGCTGTATGCTATAAATTGTAGGGCTCTGAGACTTGCAGTATTACACATTAAAGCACCATGAAGAAGTAAATTCATAAATATTGATACAGTGTTTTTGATATTGCCATATCGATATTTTTGAACACAGCTGTAATGGCAAATAACAAATTAATAAATCGAATGAATAAAGTGCAGATATTTGAGTACTGTAACCCTGCTTTACCTAAACATTCTGCTCTTCTGTATTACAATAAATACTTCATGAAATATATTTGTTTGAAATACCCACCAAATCTAAACATCTGTCTGATATTCATATAGTTTTATTTAAAAAATTAAAACTTGAGTCTCACCAGTTGCTCAGCTTCAAATGATTTCTGATGAGAAACATCTAAAACAAAACAGACGCATGAGGTAAATGCAGCAAAACAATAATAACAGCAAAGCATAACAATGAAAAACACAAAACAAACTGGTCATTATATATTACTAATAAATGTAAAACATAGATTATTAATATAAAGGACAAATAATACATTTTAAAAATACTCTAGAAAGTACAAATCCACCAAGGTGTTAATAGAGTAAATGTAACTGAGCAAATTAAAATTATTAGTGCCCCTCTCTGAACTACACAAACTGACAGACCATGTTCAGTTTCATTGTTGTATTGTTCAGTGTGCTAACCTTGCTGCACTGCATCTTACATTTAATTCTGAGGCAGCCTTTCATTTGTTCCAGCTACCTAAATGCTTCAACTGACTGATTCTGCTGCACACTAGCATAACATCTCACCTGTCCATCCTTCAAACCTTATGAGCTTCCATGGCTGCACTGCTGAGATGAGAAAGCTGTACAGAGCTGAAGCTGGGTGGTATGTTTACAGTGCACTGCTGGGTGAGACAGCTGTACAGAGCTGAAGCTGGGCGGTATGGTTACAGTGCACTGCTGGGTGAGACAGCTGTACAGAGCTGAAGCTGGGCGGTACGTTTACAGTGCGCTGCTGGGTGAGACAGCTGTACAGAGCTGAAGCTGGGCGGTATGGTTACAGTGCGCTGCTGGGTGAGACAGCTGTACAGAGCTGAAGCTGGGCGGTATGGTTACATTGCACTGCTGGGAGCGGGTGCTAAGCGACATCTGACGCAGCTGCGAGGCATAAACAGACAAACCGCTTAGCCGCTAGCTAGCTAGCTAAATACGCTAACCTAACGCTGGTGTCTTCACTCGGCAGATCGACCCAGAAATATAACTAGAAAAAAAGTGTACTCCAGCTGACCGTTAGTGAGGCTGATTATCTCATTTTGTCACTACTCACCTTTTAAAAGCAGATTCTGACCGTTTCAGTCTTTTGTTTGTCCTCCCATAGATCTGTTTTTCTGGTTCGCACCTCTGCTGTACTGAATAAACTGTGCTGTTTTGCTTTTGTTTGTTTGTTTGTTTGTTTGTTTAATCTAGACACAGAGTAGAAAACTGCAAACCCTTGAAATACATGAGACAACTGTACAGCATTATCATACAAAGCATCACTGGAGGCCATGTCTTATTATACTAAAGTCAAAGTATGAAGTTGGACGTTTAAACTAGAATCTGTTTATTATGTAATTTTACGTGGTGAAACAATATCGGTCTTTATATTACTACTCAAATACATTTGTTTATTATTGTTTGTGTTTTCCAAATACCTGGAGATAATAATTTTGAAAGTTATACATGGTATATAAAAAAGTTTGTTCTCCCTTTCTGTTGGGCCAAATTAAAAGTCCTAATGGTCTAACTTTGGGCAGCCCTGATCTACTTAAGAAAATAAACAGAAGTGTAGATGTTGAAG